GGGCAATCTTTTGACACACATCTGTGATCTACTTTCTCCAAATTGAAAAGAGCTCAATTTAATCAAATAAGCTTCAGGGATAAAGGAAACGTGGATGCGGTGGGGGCTCAGCAACGCTCAAATTTGCTGTCAGGGAAGCAGAATGAACAGCAGAATGAACAGCAGAATGCAGCAACATTAAGATTATTCTGGCAGCAACCAAAGAATCCAAATTATAACCTTCAGAAGAGGCACAAGTTTTAGGCCTACTCAAAAAACACACACAAGATTAAACTGCATCAAGGCGGCGTGTTTATCTGAGGGGGGAATTCAAACATTATATGGCTACCTTATTTTTAGTCTTTTAGTTTTTTCCCCCCCTCTTTTAATTTCATTTCCAGTCGAAGGATCACAGTTCCCTCCTCCCCACCGCCAACATGAACAATCGGGACACAATCTGATTAGGAGGACTTTTAGAGGCAGAAATTAAAAGTTTAAAATGGGTTTAAGAGGCGGATCATGTGGACTCTGTGATCGTTTGAATGCATTAGTTCACAGAAGAGGACTTGTAACCGRGCTGCGCATTAAAACAATGGAAGGAAAGAAAATCTCAGCTGAAATAATGTGATGTCTTTATAAGRCATTGTGCGTAATGGATGTTTGAGGTTTTCTTAAACGTTTCCCTCAACAAGCAGAAGCGAAATTTAACCCTTAAAAAAGTGGCCAATCTCTGCGCAACTTCAACGTTTTCTCCGTTTGTTAATAAGGAATACAGTACCTTCAGCGGGCTTGGATCCGTTCGGGGAGAGAAAAACAAAAACACTCCACTGTTTAACTTTCCCTCCCGTCTGTCTCCGTGCTTCCGTCCTTCATGCGGTCCTGCCGGAGGATCGCGCGTAAAGGTCGGCTCCGATCGTAAGCGTGAACCCGGAGAGGCTACGGAACYGCATATCCTCACCCCTCCTTCCCTCCCTCCGGTGCTTCACATGGGAGCTTCCAAGAAAAAAAAGAAGAAYAAAAAAAGAGCAGACTGGATTTAACACAGTCTGCGGCGCACAAGAAGCGAAGAGGGGCACTTCTCCCTCTCCATGCGGAGCATGACGCGCTCTGAGTGTCCACGGCTGGCCATGGCTGCGTCCGTCCGTCCGTCAGCAAAGTCCCGGSCTCTCTGTCTTCTGTTTCCGCCCTTCCTTCCTGCGCAGCTTAGAGCCGGACTCCCTGCGAGTTCTTCGRCAAGATGGATTCAGTTGATAGTGCGACGTGCACGCGGCTGCTCCGCTCACCTCTCCCACTCTCTCTCTCTCTCT